ACTTAATATTAAGTGTAACTTTTCATATACAAGTCCAGGCTCGGATTTAGATTTTTTAATTCGGTATCTTTGTTTTTTTTATATATATATATATATATACTGTCATACAGATGTTTATTTTAACGACTTCTATACACAAGATATTCTGGTTTGTAAAAGAAATGAAATATACATAAAGCAATTGGTCTTAGCTGCCTACGTAAGAATAAGATGGTTGTCTTAAATCAACATATGAAACACAATTTATTTTTTAGATTTTCGTTGTCTCTTTTTGTTATTGGTATTGTTCAGTAACATGATCATATTCTTTTAGATTATGGCTCCTAGAACGAATATCACTGCAAAAGCTGAAAATTCAGTCCCCCCAAGAAAGTAAGACCTTTATTTTAGTCTTTAGATAGATTTAGAGTTCTATTTATTTCTGACTTATTTAAAATAACTTCAAAATATAATAATTGGATGTAAATTGAAAGCAATTTTGCGGTAAGAAGAATCCAATTTTTTGTGGTTTAGAAAAACTAACGGAACAGAGGAGCAGTAAGAAAATATTTAAAAAACAAGTACATATATAATATTTTTTGTAAAATGGGTATAACCTGATTTATAGTAATGGTAGGTATATCCTTCCTTCATGGTAGGTATAATTTTAAGACCATAACAAATTGAACAGGACCTTGCAATATTCAAGCGATTTTTCTGTTAATAAATTATTAAAATCAAAATATAATAGAACGAAAAACCAAGGTTATCAATAGATTAAATAAAAATCTTTTATGCGAGTCATTATTTAATTTTTTTATTTGATAATCATATTTTTTCTAATATTTATTGGATTGGTACGTTTAATTTTGTATTTATTTAGCAGCCTTATCTTTGAAAGTGGTTTAAAAGGAGATTAAAATTCACATTCATAAATAGTTAATACATAAAACGTTGGGCTAGCGTGCTTGATTTTAAACTGAACTCAAAGTTGAAATAAAAAAGCGATAAGATTTTTTTTTACAAAAAATTTACAGTTTTAAATTAAATATTTGTTTTGATTAACCACTCATAAAGTGTTCGCAAATAATTTGAATTTTACGATAATTAGCTAAAACAACGTATCTGAATTTTTAATCCTATTTACAAAAAAACAATCGATATCACTCTTTAGAAAACCTTCATTTATTTATATAATTAGACATTTTCGCGGTAATTTTTTTTTTTTTCAGGGCTCATCTGACTTCGTCTCCAATAATACTGAAGCCTAATGGTTCATTATATTTGACCCATATTAGTTTATAGTATCCACTCTGGCACCTTAATGCCTTTGTAAAATCAAAAGTCAACATGTGGTTGTCCATCCAAAAAGTGCATGTCTTTTGCTATCCAATGTTTCACAGTTGCACATAATGTGTTTGGCTGTTTTTGGTTCCTTTTGACGGATCCGACACGGTCTCCATTATACACGCCTAGTTTGTTCAGGTGTCCCTTTACTGGGACATGCCAAGTCATGAGTTCTGTTATTGTTTTTTTACTGGTTCCTGTTCTTTGTGAAAATGGTGTTTCTTAAAAGGTTTTCCCATGATCTTGCTTTGAGACATTCTCGCAATAATTGCTGTTTTATCTGAACCCACTCATTTATAAAACCTCGAGCTGTGCTATTTGGTACTCCAAGGTTTATATCTGGTTCCAGTATTTCTTATGACTCTCTCTTTGCAATTTCGTCAGCCTTTTCGTTTCCCTCGATCCATTGATTATCTGGCACCTAAATTAGTTTTACTCTATTTCGACCGGCCAGTGTTCTCAGTTCTTCGATGCAATCTTGTACGTTTTTTCTTACTCGATATGGCCTTAAGGGTCGCCTTGGCGGTCTGAACTTATTTGGTTCTGCTTATTCTTGGGTAGCTCTCCTATTGTTCTTGCAGATTGCATTGCATAAACCTCAGCCTGAAATACTGAAGCGTGTTTTCCTATTGCATAGCTAAGGTTAGAGCAGAAATGATTGCTATAGAATTGGCAGCGAGAGAATTTTTTCCCCTCAAACAAGCCTATAAAGAACTTTTCAGATAGACAGGCAGCCCTCAAGGCCCTGAGCTAGAGTCGAGTTGTCTCAAAGCTAGTTTGGAACTGTATAAACACCCTTGAAGGTCTCTGTGTCCCGAACAAACTGTGATCTGGTTTCCGGAACACAGCGGTGTGGAGGGCAATGAAAAAGCCGACGTGCTTACTAAAAGAGGAACCGAATCTGTGTTCATAGGACCAGAACCATTCCTGGGCATTGCAAAGAGCACTGCCAAAGAAATTATCTCAAAATGGACGGAGGGTGCAACACTCACGAACTGAAGAGATACCCCAGGGCTAACTCATTCGAAGGCGTTTATAACCAACCCTTCTATGAACGCCTCTGCTCAGATCGAGAATAGATTAGGAAAGATCTACACATTTTCACGGGACTAATGACAGGAAACTGCCGTCTGGGCAAACAACATGAGAAGGATAGTTCTGCAACAAACATCAGACTGTCGATTCTGCAGAGCACATTTTATGTACCTGCTCTGCTTTGGAAATAACCAGGTTCCAGATCTTCGGATTTACCCGAATGGAGCTTACCGACTTTAAACAAGTCTAACCCAATTCAACCATGGCCTTCATCAAAAATAGGTGTGACTTGTATTGTGAACTATAAGTTAGTCATGAGCCAAATAGATCCATCTGGGTCGCAGTGGAAGGCGATGAGATCCCACTTATTTTTAACCTCACCTAACCTAGGGTTTTCGGAGAATACTCCAGCCCCAGTTTGTGTACCGGTTTGTGTCTGTCGTTAGTCACTGGGTTTCTTTATAGTGATTAGGGTTATTTTTTACAACTAATTACATAGAATACAATAAAAGTAAATGCACAGAGACAACACCCTGAAAAACAAAACACTTTGGAAAAAAAGTCTGTCATCTTTGTCATTAACAATCAAGTACAACAAAAAAATAAACACATTAGCTTTGTTCGCGGTAAGAATCCTGAACAGAAGTATTACTAATAGTAACGATTTCGCAAGCGCAGTACTTAAAAAGCGTTCGCGGAACAAAAAGAACTGAACTATTGGTTCTATTCTGTGTTCGCGGTAAAAGTATTATTGATTTTGAACCGCTTGTGTATACCTGAAACACCCGAGACTGCACGCGCGGTAAAAATTTAGAACTGATAATGATTCGGGCATGCGCTCAAAGTATGAACTACTAATTCTGAATCAGTTCAGGATTGTTACCGCGAACGAAGCTATTATTAGGTTGTGAAGCTTTTAATTTTATAAAATCAGGCACCTATTTGACACCTGTATGTGCTGAAAATTAATTTAATTTTAAATCCTATATTTATACACTAGGAAAAAAATATAAATAGAAATAAAAACGTAAACAATCTATGCAAAAAAATAACAAAACTATTACTAAATCCGTTATTCTCGGAATGTTTGTTATTATTTTGGAAAATGTATAATTTTTTATATTATTTGTTTAACAATTTGATATTACGAGTATATTACGAGGTAGTGTTATAGACATTCGGTCTTAGATAATTTAATTTAAAAAAAAAATCTGTTCTGTTTGGTATTAAAACCTCGCTGTTCTGTTTGTTTGGTATTAAAACCTCGAATGGAGTGTTGATGGAGTAACGTTTGATTATGTGATATGTTCTCATATCTAGCACGTCCCCTATCACTAACTTTGTGATACTTATGTTATCTAGTCTAATGGTAAGATTTGCCAAGATGTTCTCTAATATGTAAGCTCCTAATCTTGCCTCCCCTATATCACAAAGTGAAGTGGTGGCAAGCCTAAGTGTTGAGTCCAGGTAAGTTTCGAGACGATTATAACCTCGAGACACTTTACCTCCCCCCTTAGCCAGACGTTTTCACCTTAGAGTTTTAGCGGTTCTAGTCCCTCTTTCTCATACGCTTTATTAAAATTATAGTAGATTGTTGGGACTAATTTTTAGTCCTTCCTTCTCTATCCATTTTGTTTGTTTAGAGCCTCTTGCTTATGATATCTAACTGTTCCATGATCACTAGATCATCGGCATATCCCAGGGTTTTATGTCCTAAGCAGCCCATCTGTGACTAAGTTCCACAGGAGTGAAGACGGTACTCCCTATGGACGTCCGTCCCATCGCAACCTGAGCTGCTATCGTCTCCCCCATAATAGATGTATATATACCATTCTCCCTCTTATAGCAGGCAATAAAATAATTGTAAATTGTTACATTGCCAAATCAGTTAAAAATATGAAAGTTGAGTTTTTCTGTTTGTCACCTCGACAATAAAATTTATATAATTTGAATAAAATCCATCACCATGCTAACATCAACTCGTAAGAGGTTAGTTGAACCTGCTTTTGCAACTATACAGAACATTGTTTCTTTAAATTCACCTTTGATTCAGAATCACTATTGAGCATATATATGTTATCGAGATTTGAGCATTAAATATTATTTATAGAATCTAAATGAACCCTCCCGAAACAGTACGTCATTGTGTTGTACCCTACCCCTTTCTCCGTCTGGTTTATGATGCAGACAAGCGAGTCTATCTTAGATAATATATGTCTACGCTACTATGCTAGACCATAGACATATTTGTGCTAGATACTGACAAAGATTACACAGGCGTTGACTACAGAGATAAAGGGGCCAAATATTTTTACATGTGCAAGCTTAAGGGGTAAAGGGCCCAAATATTTTTACAAATTAAAACAATAAACGATTTTATAACACTATTCCGTTTTTTTTTTTCAGTCACATGGTATTACATACATAAAAAATACGTTTAAATAGGATTTATTTTGGTTTTAGATTTATTAAATAAAAATAATTTTGTGAATTTCAGAGAACACAATTTTGGTGCAATATTTTATTGGCGTTATTTATTTATTTTTTACTTTTAAGATAAGGCAGCATACCTAAAGAATATACAAAAAATGATGTCTAAACATTATATCATATATTAATATTCTTTATTTTAACTTTAGATTATCAAGTATGCCTGTCCCGTCCCTTCAACAACCCGCTCCAGTATTCAAAGGCACAGCTGTTGTCAATGGCATGTTCAAAGAGATCTCTCTCGAAGATTACAAAGGCCAATTTGTCGTCCTCTTTTTCTATCCTCTAGACTTCACATTCGTGTGTCCTACTGAAATTATCGCCTTTTCTGATGCTATAGAAGATTTCAAGAAAATTAAGACGGCTGTTGTCGCTTGCTCTACTGACAGCCAGTTTTCTCACTTAGCATGGGTCAACACACCTCGCAAACAAGGAGGATTGGGTGAAATGGCCATTCCTTTGCTGGCAGATAAATCGAGTGCTATTTCCAAAGCTTACGGTGTTTTGGATGAAAATACTGGTATTCCGTTCAGAGGATTGTTTATTATTGATGGAAAAGGTACAGTATTTTTAAATATCTAATCTTTCTATATTGTATTTTTTTGACCTACAACTCTTTTTAGATTAGATACCAATTTCCATCACCTTGTATATAAGTTATTTATTTTAAATATTGTCTATATCTATAACTTCTTTTTCAGGAATTCTAAGACAAATTACCATAAATGATTTGCCGGTGGGGCGTTCAGTTGAAGAAACTCTTCGTCTCGTCCAAGCAATCCAATTCACAGACGAACATGGAGAAGTTTGCCCAGTAGGATGGAAACCCGGCCAGAAAACCATGAAACCAGATACCAATGCAAGCAAAGATTATTTTTCATCAGTTAACTAAGAATAATGTACTCCTAAAAATAACAATTTACATATTATACAACAGTGTTAGTTTTTTGTTTTTGTAATTTTTTACTTTTGTCCGTTTTTTCAGTTATTATGTAGAATGTACAACTAATAAAAATGTTTATTTTCTTCATATTCTATTTTTATTGTGTTTAGACTAAACGTGTGTTCAAAAATAACGAGCATTTTTTAACAGTTACTAAAATAATCCTGTGCAGTTAATATAAGAATAACAATGTATTTCCATTCCATCTGTAGTTTTAGCATTTCCCGATTTAATAATCTTACATAAATTAAATTATGTTTCAATTACATAAATAATAAACTTAGAGCCAACTCTGGTAAACAATGTAGTTCTGTCATCGGCATAGTAACAATTATTGTGCGCTCAACACTTCGGGAAATACAGCTATCTCGCTCTATGGAGAATAAAACGGCCAAGATGGATATAAGCTCCGAATCGTGGAAACTTCGCTTTTGAAAAACTCGTTTAAAATAAATTCTACTGATTAGATACACATGCGCTCAACAGTTTTATTTTGCGACAGGAATGGTAATGTACATGCTACTAATTTTTTTCAACCAACCAATCGCAAGACAAGGACAAGCTTTTCAGACTCCACACATACATTTTATTTTCATTAGAGCATCTTAAACCTCCGAATACAATCATTTAAATCCGGAACGTTTTGCACTCAGTTTAATATGTAACACATTTGGTATGAGGTATGATCATAGCCGACGAAATCTCATCGAGTTGGCGCATGACGTATTGTGGTGTGAAATATAGTTATCTGGTTGGCCATGAATAGATTAAAATTTATTTTCGCGCACTGATATCGATCAGCTGATACGTCAAATTCGTAAAAGCCACGCCTTCCACCATGACGTATAGTATCAATCTCCATAATACCTTCTTTTTATATTATGAAATAAAACGGAGTAGTCTAAGATACGAAGTAAGGTCGACCTTCACATATCTGCGCACCGGATGAAAGTATTTTTTTTATTAAATAAAATGTTTATAAATATACCGCAAAAAGGTTGCCGATTCAAATACTGTTAAGGCTTTATTTTCTTAAAGTAAAAAGACCACACCCTATAAAGTATTCCCCAGATGCTTGGACTATGCCATAAATATAATCGGCTCACCGCAGGATGGATTAAAGCTTGAGTTTAAAATTTGGTGTTTTTCTCTATTTGTTTTCGAGTTATCTTCAAATATCTCGAATACGGTCCATTTTAGGGAAATCGTGTATTACGGAGTGGCCCAAATAGGGCCTACATGTAATGGGATCTTGAAAACTATAGAATATAGAAAAATGGTTAAATGTAAAGTTCCTCTCTTTACCTTTAAACCCGGTCATACATTGCAAAGAAACGTAGCGCGTAGTTATTTCGTAAAAGAACCGACATGCGTTGCCTGGTGTGCTGTTGCCAGGATTTGTAGTTTATCCCTTTCATATTTAAAAATAGTTTTTACCTATAATTCACTAATAGCAACACGTTTTATTAATTGGAATAGTTTCGAGATATGTTGGGACACATCAAGCGTGCCCACCAATTAATTTTCGTATATAGTTCAGTTTCAGTGTTGTTGCAAATATTTCCCGAAACATTTCTTATAGTAAGTCTCTAAATAAAATGACTTTTAACAAAACAAAAAAAAACGTATAAAATATATGCATTAAGCTATTTTAACTGCTTTCAGTAGACTTTATATTTTAGCAGCATCTATTTTTAGACCATTATGCAGGGCATTTTTGTACCTATAGTTTTTACATACATACGCCTGCTTAATAATTTTGCAAATACTAAGTTAAACTATGGTAACACAATACCATTAATAGGCAAAAAATAAATACATTGATTTTAAAAGCGTTAAACGTGACAACACCGCAATTGAAAATAACCTTGTTTCAGTCATTCTATACGTCACGTATAGTATTTTATAGATCTATAGTTTGCGACGTTGCCATCCAGTAAATTGTTTCATATCGGGTGTTTTTGTTGATTTTTATACTTTTTTGGAAATATTTCGGCTTATAGTTTTAGTGTATAGCTAACAACATGGGTCGCGAGAGCATTTTGTGCAAAAAACTGGATAATATGTGAGTGCTGAAGTGTCTTTTCATAAGTAAGTAAGGTTAGGTGATGCATTGTTCAGTGGTGTAGATTTAAAGAATTTTGCCGTAATATCACATGTATTTGCTGCGTTTGAATATCCACATCCGATGCATTTTTTGAATCTCGAGCGTTTGTTTATCCACATCGGACACATCTGTCCTACTATATTTACGTATATTGAATCACGTGATAAAATATTTACAATATCTCAGATGTATCCGATGTGGATATTCAAACGCAGCGTAATCTCCATTTTTTTACTATTATTTCCTTTGATGTTTTAACGTTATTAATTTCGCAAAAAATTGTTTGGAAACACTTTAGTCTGGACTTTAGTAGTAAAATAAATATTCTAATGCTTACTTTTTAGATTCCCAACTGATAGGTACACAAGAAATAATTGGTTATAACTTGTAGGACTTGAAGAAAATGAAAGGTATCCGAAAAAGAGTGTTATGCTCGGAGCATATTTTGAGTAAACCAAACACAATATCAAATGTTTACATATATAATTTTCTAAAATTTCGTCTTCATCTGAATTTATTTTGCAAATCACAAAACAGACAAAATAGCTTTTGTAACCTAAATTATTCTTCTCTTTTTTTGGGCTGTGTCCATGAGACAATTTATCCAGCTAAACCTAGATTATATTATGTTAATCGTGTTAAATTTTTAAGCGCTCATTCTTGAGTGATTAATTCAAACTGTAGTTTAGGTTAACTAAACGTAGTTCACATGTCGGTCGAAACAAAATTATATTTAAATCAGAAATTATTAATTAAAACTTCGTTTAACATAATAGTGGAATCGGCCCTTATTTAAAGAACTTTCATTGCCAATTATAAGGTCATACAGATCTCTAGAAGTTATGCCCCTGCTTCGAGAATGTGCAATCACAGATTTTCAAAACTTTGTGAACACCAGGGGTTCACTGTTAATACCAAAGGAACTGCTAAGAATTTTTAAATTGAATTGCTAAGTTCAAGTCTAACATATCTATGACATTCATGATTTTTTTTAACAAATAAGTAAGTTTTCTTAAGGTCAGTTAGGCATTTCAAACAAATGAATTACCAGTGGGCAGGTTTGGTATATCTAAGGGTGGCGACATATGGTGTATTCTATCTACTTTACGTAAAATCGTGAATAATGGATCACATTTAAATATTTTATGTCAAACACAATAAAAATAATATTTAAAAAACCCACCTATACCTTTCTTCATAAATTGGCAGGCTTGGCGAGTACTACTTCGAATAAAAATAGCGTCCAAGTTGCAAGACTATGTCGCTACCCCCTAAAATATACAAGAATTTCCCACTGGCACCTATTGTTTGACAGGTCGTTGGAATGCCTAATTGGCCCCATAAAACAATTTTTGACATTATTGACATTAATTTGATAGCCACTGACTATTCTCCATCTTAAAATGGTTAACTAGTTATGAAGGATTTGTTTGATATTTTAAGGTTAAGTATTCATATGGTTTTTTACTATACAGGGTGTTTCCGAACTTGGCGTCCAAATTTGTAGGGGTGGTAGTTCGCATAATTTGAGACCGATTCCCAGATTTCATTTTTCCAAAATATTTAAAATAAAAATAATTAAAAATTATAAACAGGTACGGTCCTGCACAGCGATAGGGTTCGCCTCGACTCGCGCGCGCTACGCTTAGAATCGACAAAATTGCAAATCGCATCTGTTTTTGAGGACTATTGCGCTGTGCGCTCAGGGTAGGACCTGCTCTTTGATTTTTTTTATAGTATCTCTATTTTGTTTATTATAATTTTTTAGAAAAATGAAATCTGCCAATCGCTCTCAAATTATGCGAACTACCACCCCTACAAATTTGGACGCCAAGTTCGGAAGCACCCTGTATAGTTCAGATAAAAATAAAATGTTGGAAATTTGATTTCTACAAATTTTGTATATTCTGATAGATTAACATGTCAAGTTGCATGGTCATCATATACTGATAGTAAAATGTGTTTGTCTACGTCGTTTTGTAATATCATTTTGACAAATAACTGATAAATATCTAATACTCATCAGCTTCTTGATAAAGATGTAGTGTATGTTTGATGTGTTCTAGAATGGTTCTAGATCAGTGAAATATTGTTTCTTATATATTTATTTATTGTATTTATTTACAACTATATATGTAATGTTGTCATTACTAACGTCATTGAAGGTTGGGAAGTGTCACATTACACACCTCTACTTTCCGCTCTCATTTCATCTATTCTAGATGAATATTTTTATATTTAAAAAAAAATAACACCTTTTTTTTGACAAATTTTATAATACCTATTTAATGGCAAACAATAAAAAACAACAATGAACTAAAATACAACAAACTACTTATTCGCGAATTTAATATCCGGTTTTATCTGACATTTATTTATATTGGTGACAGTTGTTTACCCCGTAATCACAGTAACAATATATTTACTTGATTATTCTGAGAAAACCGCGCGCCTGGTAATTTGTCATTAAATGTAATATTTTAGGTATGTTCAGAACGAAACAGAGATTTATTAACTTTGACAGAAATATGATGGTTGTAAATAAAATAGTATACAAACCTCGGTAGGAAGTTTCATTCCTGTCTCGAGATCATAGCTAACCTCGACGCTTCGCGTCTCGGTGATCTAACTAATCTCACGACAGGAATGAAACTCTTCCCACCTCGGTGTGTAATATACTATTACTGCAAGTTATTGAAAATGGTATCTGCTAGCTACACCTCATATGTTTATTGTTTATACTATATGACAAATGACTTACAACTAATGCATAGTAGAGATTCATAAAGAAAAATGGAAATGTTTTTAAATTTACATAAGACAAGTCTAAGCTTTTTATGATATAGTTATTTGTTCTTTCAATTGGTTGGAAAGATTATTGAACTTCTGTTTGAATTATTATAAGTTTTGAAATAAACAAAAACATTTATTAAGCGTATTTTTTCATAATGGTGGAAATAAAGTTTTTCTTCCTCTTTTTCA